ACAACCAACATAATGGAAAACAATATATTGCACAGATAATTGGCATAGAATAGCCAAGTGTTGGAAGCAACCTAAATATGTATAGATGAGTGTATGAATGAAGAAAATGTGGTACACGTATACATATGTACAATAAATTTTTTTAGTCTTTAAAAGGGGGAGAAAAATGTGTAATATGCTGAATAGATGAATCTTGAAAACATTGTGCTCAGCAAAATAAGTAGTCACAAAAAGATGATTACTGCATCATTCTATCATCTGAGGTGTACAAAGTAGTCACACTCTAGAAAGCAGAATTGTGGTTGCTAGAAATCAAGGAGAGGAGTTAAAGAAGGGACTTCAGTGGGTATAAAACATCAGTTATTTAAGATAAAAGGAATGTGTGAGATCTGCTGCACCATGACATACAAACACAGCTACACACACACATACAAAAAAAAAACCTATCATCTTGAACACTTAAGATGATAAATTCCATGTTATGTAGGTCTCTTAACTAGAATCATAAAAAGAAAGCAATCAAAATTTGACAGAGTAGTTTTAGGATAAAAATATTAAATCTGCAGTCTACGATGTTATTTAGAAGCCACCATCACATTCTTGTGGTGTCATTCCACTTACTTCAGGAAAATAGAGCAACTTGACATAGAATACAAAATTTGCAGTGAGTTAAAAATCTCTGGGCCGGGCGGTGGTGGCGCACGCCTTTAATCCCAGCACTCGGGAGGCAGAGCCAGGCGGATCTCTGTGAGTTCGAGGCCAGCCTGGTCTCCAAAGCGAGTTCCAGGAAAGGCGCAAAGCTACACAGAGAAACCCTGTCTCGAAAAACCAAAAAAAAAAAAAATTTAAAAAAAAAATCTCTGAAAACAAACCAGTTTTGCCACATGCTTGCGTTCTATATCATTAATCAAGTCACATCACCTTTCCAAGGCAGTTTTCTTTGTTGTTGTTGATGATGATGCTTAGTTGTTTGTAATAATACATAGGACGGTGTTACCTTCCACATAGGATGAGGTCCCTGAGTTATCTTGCCTAATCATAAACAATGCCTTTTCTTTTTCCTATCAATTCACTAGACATTGGTTAGATCCCCATGATGCATGGTATTAGAAAACCTTTTCAAAACTTTTGATGAAGGTTTGTTTTTTATTACACAACAAATTGTTTAAAAATATTAATTTTAAATATAAACAGTAATAGTGATTAAGTTATTAAAAAGTACTACATATGCCAGCCAGATTGTCATATTCTTGTATATTACCTTGATATCACACATGATAAATGCATCATTGCTCTTCCCACTACCAATAAGCTACCTGAAATTGAGACCCTAAGTAATGTCCAAAGCCCCAATAAGTAAAAGCGGAGGCAGAACTAACTCCATAGCACAAATTCTTAACTCGTTCTATACTCTATGGTACATGGAGGATGAACCTATGCGTGTGAAGCAGGCTTGCGCAGAGCAGGCAATCACTAAAACTGAGAATTGTCTTGCTTTCTCTTGGGAGCAGGAGAGGAAATGGAAAAGCAGGTGAGCAGCAAGGTTGCGCCTTTTTCTTCATACTGAAAAACTCCACCTTGTTTCTGAGTATAAATAATATTTCTCATTTTTCTCTGGGTTTTAATACCCTAACACTTAAGACTTTGAAAGACCCTCTTAATAGGAAGCAAGCATGGACTTGGGTTATTGATACTGGCTTTACTGAAGAATGAAAATGAGCTGGGGCTTGAGAGATGACGGGTTTAAATAGACTGGGAACATAGGGGGTGGACTCAGAGGTAGACATAAGGGGAATTGCTTTGTGAATGATAATAAAATCAGACTTTCTAGAGCAAAGGTTTGGCTTTGAAATATTAAATTGAACCATGGAAAGAGTCCAGTGTACAAATTTAGACCACTCATGACCCAGATCATTAACTGTCAAATCACCTTGAAAAAGAATAGATGTTGCTTAAGAATCTGGTCCCGGCTTCAAGTTTCCTAAGCAACAGTCCCAGAAGGACCCTGAAAGATCTGGGAAATAGATGATAAATCATGTGACCTATATGTGAGATATGTAGATGTATGAGAAATATTCATGATGATGATTTCCACCAGAAAAGTGATAGCAAAAGAAAGAGTTCTGTCCCCCGCAACTAAACCACTCTTCTTTCTCCTTATGGTGTCATTTCACTTCTAAGTATAGTACATGGTAGGTAGATGTTTTTAATCGTGCCCTTAGGTCTCTGTGTTTTCAGACTTACTGGTCAGCCGCTCACTTTGTTTTGTGTTTTTACCTTACACACACACACACACACACACACACACACACACACACACACACACACACACACATGGGGGGGCCGGGAGAAAGAGAGAAAACAACCTTTTGTCCTTTAAATGGACAAGATTGAAATTTTTGAAAATGGCACAGTAACCATGTATCAGCCATGGCTAGACATTAAGACCTAGTTGTATATTGCTACTGGATTTATGTCCTCCCCTATACCTTTGCTTGAATTGGAGTTTTATTACAAGCCTACTGCTTAGACGTTAGGCTGGACTTAGGAAAAGCCATATTCATTTCTGAATACTCTGAAAAAACAGTGAAGGGGTGTGGGGCTCTCCTTGGAAATATATAGTTTAATTAATATTCCAAAATAACTGTTGCCTATATATAAGTATAGATACATTTCTATAAATATTTTCAGGAAAAAGAAAGAAATTTTTGCTGTGCTCTTTAAAGATTCATGTCATAAATTATAGAGAACCTTTTAAAATAGTTTACATTATGAATCTGTTCCTGATAACTTATGGATTCCACAATGTAATTTTTATTAGTTAAACTATTGTTTTAAATTACAGATGGTGACATCTGTAGTATAACTGGAATTATGGAAACAGAATTGAAATTTAATTCATCACAATAAAAATTTTATGAATTCTCAATTAAAATATTGACCCCCCACAAAAAAATTTAATGCTTCATTACCCTTTCAGTTGTACAACATAATTCTTTCTGTGATTTTGGCAATGCTGGAGTTTTGATTTGGTTTGGTTTAGTTTGGTTTTTCAAGACAAGGTCTCTCTGTGTAGCCCTGGATATCCTGAAACTCATTCTGAAGATTAAGGTGGCCTCGAACTCACAGACATCCATCTGCCTCTGCCTCCTAAGTGCTGGGGTTAAAGGCATGTGCCACCACCGCCTGGTGACAATTCAGTTCTAACTCTGATATGTATAAAGATATTAAATGTCATTCTCACCCCCACTCACACAAACACACACATATACTTTGGGGTGGCATCTTTAATTACATTTTCTACAATAGTATATGAAAAACAATAGTATATGTAGAATTGCCCATTAAAATTATGCCAGTTTCTCAAGATTCTTAATCTTTTTGTTCAAGAGATAGATCTTTCCAGGCATAATTGCAATATATTATAACTTATCACCAATATTTCCATAATAGTAATTACTCATTTCTTATAGATCCTAACTAATGCATTAATTTGTAAGCACTGCTTATTAGATGAGTAAATTTTGTTTAACCTCTACACTTATGCTATCATGCTGTCTTATTTTTTTTTGCAACTAATAATGTAAATACTTATTACAAGATTTATCTTAGTACAGGATTCTATTACTGCAATAAAACACCATGACAAAAAGCAAGTTGGAGAGGAAAGAGTTTGCTTCTGGTTTAACTGCCAAGTCATACTTCATCACAGTTGGAAGTCAGGGCAGGAACTAAGCCTGGAATCTGAAGACAAGAACTGAAGGAAAAGCCATGGGGGAGTGCTGCTTACTAGCTTACTTAACCTGCTTTCCTAGATTCCCCTGTCCAGGGATGGCACCTTCTACAATGGGATAGGCACTCCCACACCAATCATTAATCCAAAAATTGCACACACCTACCCCAGAGAACACCTCCCAACCTGTCTCATGGAGACATTTTCTCAATTGTGGTTTCTCTCTCAGATAACTCCAGCTCAGATAACTCCAGCTCATGCTACACTGACAAAAAAAAAAAAAAAAAACAACCAACCTGGGCAGGATTTTGTTGGTGGTGGTACCTGTACATAATTTTAAAATGTACATCCTGAGCTTTAACAATTCACTTCCTAGGACTCTACTGAATTCTTTTCTGTTTGAAATAGAAGGCACTAACTGAGTGTATGAAACATAAGATGAAAAATCTAAAATGAGAGTTGAGGCCAGTTAAGATTAACTTTTCTTTCTAGTGCAAGAAGTTGACAGCAGAATCTGATCTGGCATGAAATTATGCACAAATTCTTAAAGTTGCAAATTGTAGTGATGATAAGAGGTAAATTGCATTCTCCGTCAAAAGCAAAAGGTTTGATGGAAAGCAAAATAATAATAGGAAGGAACTTGGGAGACTAATAGGAAAGCTTTTCATCTTGATTATGTCATGGTTTTTAGTCAAATGACTATTAAAAATGTATGTGTGTGAAAATTCATATGGAAACCTATTAGTCTGAAAACTAATTTTTAAAAAATAAAAGTACTAAATTGCACACTTTAAATTAATGCCATCTGTTGTACTACATATAGACCACGTCTTAATAAATTTAATTGAAAGAAAAAAATAAGAGTCTGAAAAGAAAGCTCAACAGTTAAGGTAATTGCTACTCATCCAGAGGACCTGAATTCAAGTCCCAACAACAACAGTGCTGCTCACAGCTGCCTGTAACTCCACTACAAAAGAAATGACCCTCTTCTGACTTCTGTTCACATGCACATAGACTTTAAAAAGTAAAAGATAATTATTTTAAAGAAAAGATAAACTTATCAAAATAAATCAAATTTTTAAAAGATTTCACTAACAAAAGGACAAAATGTCAAAAAACAAAAGTGTTGAACAGAGAAAGGGGATTTGGTGGGTGAGGGGCACTGGTGACCTGATAAAAATTCAGAATTAACTTAGCTGGGTTACTCTACTATTAGGAATAAATTCAACAAGAAATGTAATTTATTCATTGGTATGTAAAATTTCAGCCTCGGGTACCTGAGGTACACAACATACCTGTGTGCACTCATACATACTGCAGAAGACCTGAGAGGAGGCATCAAACGAGAGAAGTGGGGAGACTGTGCATGAAGGCAGCAGAGACCAGCAGAAAAAGGAGTATGTTTATATGGGTTTACCTTTGACTATTCCTCCCATTCTCCTTTAGTCTGGAAATTTTCAAAGCAAACAAGTTGAGGAAAAATTTAACCAGATATATCAAAACTTGAAGATAAAAGCCACGGAAATTAAATTGCCTAGGGAACAGTAACACTGATGTGGGTATAGACTTTACAAGTCATTAACATGGAATTGTGAAATGTCCTTCCAATAAGAGAAAACACTGCAAGGCAAAGAACGTAAATTTAGTGGATTGTCAAAAAATTATATCTAATCTCACAAATTTTCATAGCAGGAAGTTTGATTGCTGAGTTATTTTAGAAGCATATCACGTAAATGTAACTGAGAGAATAGGCTTTGCATATCCCTTCATGTCCCCTACTGATTCGCATTAATCTCAAGTGCCCTTTATGTAAAATTGGAAGAAAAAAAGTACTTATACTTCAAGATTGTCATAAAGATTGACTAAGATAATGAGCTTTAAATCCCCAGCTTAGTACTTCTTCAAAATAAGCACTCAAGAAATGTTAGCACCTATAATTACTATTATTTTAGGAAAAACACAACAAGGTATAATCATTAAAGTATTGATAACTGATGTTACAATGCCAAAAAAATCACATTTTCCTTCTTCCCACCTGCCATTTCTCAATTACAATGGCAGACTCATTTGTGGAGTTTAGGATGCTCAGAGAAGAGTCTCAGGTTCCTCAAACACAAAAGATCTACTATTGTCAACTTAAGCCTAGAACACATCTTTGCTTTTTCTCCCAAAGTAGGGGAAGTTTTCACGGAGATTTGAAGTTTTTGTTTTTGTTATTTTTAATTCCTTTCTATCAAGTTTTGAGAAGCTACCAAAAAAAAAACCACTAAGGATTTAAAAGGTTCTTTCAAATGAGGACTGTACTGTCTCACAATCCAGATTACAAAAAGAAAAATTGTCTTCTTGTCTTCCTTAAGTGAACCATGTTGAATTTGGCATTTACCATCTGATAATTTAATAACCAGAAATGTATTTCTCTCCGTAATTGCTAACTTATTGTCTGACAAGAAAAAATGAACTCAGCAATTTAGCAGCGATTCAGACATGGTAACTATTGCATTTCGATTACAAAATGTACAGTTCTATTGCAAAGATCATGTGGGTTTTTTTTTTTTTTTTTGAAAATGTGAAGGCTCTGAGGAGAGAAAGAGCTGGATAAGGACCAGAAGGAAGTCTCCCATGGATCTCCAAGACCTTCACTTTTTTTTTTTTTTTTTTTTAAAGATTTATTTATTATGTATACAGCATGTGTGCCTGCAGGCCAGAAGAGGGCACCAGATCTCGTTACAGATGGTTGTGAGCCACCATGTGGTTGCTGGGAATTGAACTCAGGACCTCTGGAAGAGCAGTCAGTGCTCTTAACCTCTGAGCCATCTCTCCAGCCCCCGGTGTGGGTTTTGATGAAATAATGAACACTGTTTTCTCTGGGCTGGCTCAGTGGTTAAGGGCACTTGTTGTTGTGAAAGACTGGGGTTCAATTTCTAGTATGCACATGGAAGCTCACTACCTCCTTGGGCACCAGACACCCATGTAGTACCCAGATGTACATGCAGGAAAAACACTCATACACATAAAATAATAAAAACAAATTAAATCTAAAAACAAAATAAAAAGAAAGGTAATTCTCACCATTCAAAATTAAGTTGATCTTAAAAGATACATATGGCACTGGGGAGATGGCTCGGTGGTCAAGAGCACTTGTGTTCTTTCAGTAGATTCCGATTTGGTTTCCAGAACCCACATGGTATCATACAAATTCCCGTAACTCCAGTTCCAAGTGACCAGTCTCCCTCTTCTGGACTCCGAGGAAAACAGGCACACATGTGGTGCACACACAGGTGGACACACACACACACACACACACACACACACACACACACACTTTTTTAAGGTGTTTTTTTCAGATTTTTTTTAATTTTATAATTAAATCATAAAATACAGTAGGGCTGTGGAGATGGTTCAGTGGGCCAAGGGTTTGTCCCACAAGTGTGAAGACCTATGTTTAAATGTCACATAAAAGTCAAGCAAAGCAGTGTCTGTGACATCACTGCTGAGAGGACAGTGACAGGCTGGTCCCTGGGGGTTTGCTGGCCAACCAGTCTAGACTAAATGGTCATCTCTGGATTCAGTGTGAACGCTGTCTCAGTGATGAATAATAGAAGAAGACTGCCAGCATCATCCTCTGGTCTCTACATATGCATGCATGGACTGAATAATGAATCTACAAACACACATACATGCACATACATCTACAATAACACACACACACACACACACACACACACACACACACACACACACACACACTTTTTTAAATATACACTTACATTGATGCAAGTATAGGGCTCCACTTTGAGCAAAAGTTCCCCAAATATGCCTCAAAGCAATTATTTTTTAATTTCCAAGAATAAAATTTTGTGTATACACACACACTTAAAAGAATGTTTAGTGATTGACATCTTAATTTGTCAGAATTATAGTTTCATTCTCAAATCTTCAAAGAAATTCTATGTAATCAATGTCTATCTAGTCTAATATTTTATTGAAATATAAAAGTGTTCTTCTTCCTTCATTTTTTATTAGGTCCTCAATTGACTTATAATGTTGACAGATTAATTTCCCCCAAACATGTACCACCACCTATAAGCCCAATTAATTCAATTCACTCAGACACTTTAAATTACAATTGCAAATTTTAACACAATCTAATTCCTCAAGCATTTCAAACACCTACCAAGAATAATTTACAAACCTAATAAACAACAAGCTCTTAAACAGTCAAATAGTTATGAGCCCGAACAGGCTGATTCCAGAATGCTAAAGCATTATCTCAAATCATCATATGTGTCATGGAGAAAGCCTCTCCCTTCTTACAGTCACCAGCTTAAAAATCACAAGTACAAAACATATTACTGTATCATTTCATTGTTAAATCACAATAACAACATCAAATAACCTTGAACCTCCAAATAAAAGCTTCCAAGTTTAGTATCAGACCAACGCTTTTAAAATGGTAAATCCCAACATGATAAGTTCCCTTGTCAGATTACCTTCAGCATCTACAAACTTAGTACACGAAACACACCTGAGTGGTGTGTTTCGTCAGAGTCTGTTTCTAAATATAGCACATCTTATTCCTGATTTCCATATTTCTCTTACTGATGTGCCAACATTTCTTTGTTGTAAAATGACTCAGGAGCAGAACGGCATCCCAGACAAGAATAAGAGTGTCTAAAGGCACCAGCACTAGGGAATGTGAGTTTATCGTTCAAGATCATTTAGCGGCGGGCGGTGGTGGCACACGCCTTTAATCCCAGTACTCTGGAGGCAGAGCCAGGCAGATCTCTTGTGAGTTTAAGCCAGCCTGGTCTACAGAGTGAGTTCCAGGAAAGTCAGGACTGTTTCACAGAGAAACCATGTCTTGAAAAACAAAACAAAACACCTTGTCTCGAAACACTCCCCCCTCAAAAAAAGATCATTTAGCTAGAACATGTTTATGAATCATTCCTTATAATAAAGGAACTTGCCAAAAGATTTCTTGCAAAAGCCTCACATGGCTTTTTAACTACCTGAGTAGAATTGAGATGCTTATCTTTACAAACACTGAAAACAATCAGCTTCTTACCAAGTTGGTGTCTGAACTCCTTCAGACTACTCTCTCTGCCCTCATACTCATCATCAGTTAGGTCATTTGAATGGTGTCTTGATGTTTCTCAATATGTCTCACTCTTTAGCCCTTTCTCATGAAATAGAGACCATAAAATTAGCTGTTCCATTCTCCAATTAGTCATTTGTGCCTTGAACATCCAATTCCTTGTTCCATTCATTCAGATATTTCGGGGATGTTTTCTAACTCAATTGTCAACTTTACAATTCTGGTTGCAATCAATCTCTCTGACTACTGTAAAATACCTGGGTGGGAAGAATTCAAGGGTGGGGAGGGATAATTTAAGTCAAGCCCACATTTCTGTCAAGCTACCAGCTCAACACATATTTTCAGTATCCCACGCAGTATCTTCTCTTCCTAAACCTTGTAGAAATTGAAAGGAGAAGAATCACATTGGACTCACATAGGTGTTTCAGCGCCCTCATTGATATCAGAATTCATCAGTAGATCTGCGACTTCAGCTTTTATAACTGGTGACTAGGAAAGAATTATACTACTGATAAAATTTTATTTAATTACTAGTAAGCCAAAGATTTATGATCATGGAAAATGTTGTTACAATAGATGAGAATTGTTGGTGAAAAATGGTAGTGTGTGTGTGTGTGTGTGTGTGTGTGTGTGTGTGTGTGTGTGTGTGTGTGTGTATCCATACATTGGATGGATGGATGGATGGATGAATGGATGGATGGATGGATATAATAGAATATGCAGCAAATCGCCAAGGTTTATCTAATTTTGTTATCAGTACTTTCCCAAGAAAATTTAAGCACCCAAATCCTTTAACACAGCATTTCTGTTTCCAATGATCAGTATGCGTTCTCATTTCAATAGCCAGAATGACTGTAATATTTGGTTGCTTCAATGATTACTTCAAAGGCAGTGTGTCATAGTGGAAGGGACAGGAGCTACAGTCAAGGAATCTGAATTCAAATTTCATATATTTCTATTTAGCTTTTCCATCCTTCAGTTTTCTCATCATTAGTAAAGATAACATCTACCTTACAATGCTCTATCTGTAAAGCTACCCCACAGAAGCGCTAGTCCACTGTAGCTATTGTTGGGAGTTCTGTGTTGTGCTGGGCATTCAAAGATGGAAGAGTCACCCCAGAATGTAATTTAGGCTCTCTGGTAGTGGGATGGAACAGTTTTTGAGAACTGAACCTAGAACTTCTGTTCCGAAGCATGTTTATTGGCTGTACACAAATGGTTGTGTTTGGGATACAACAAGTTCCTCATGCCAAAAGCCCCTTTGATTTATTCTGTATGTCATATGAACAAAAGCATCACACT